ATATGTTTTCTTTACTATTACCTCACTGGAATGAGATTTAGGACACAGATTATTCAGAATTTTTGCCACCTCAGAATTTGTTGCCTTTTAGGAAAGGTAAAGTTTTAAAGCTGATCTTCATGAGTGGTTCATATTATTTGCTTCAGCAGTTGCAGGTGCTTTGCTGTAGCATCTTTCCTCATTGCTAGCAAAAAACAAATCAGTTCAAATAAACTAGTGCCTGTAAGAGATGAAATGCTTTCTTAAATGTAGGCAAAGGTAATGATAAATAATGATAAATAAAAATACACTCCTTAAAATAATTATAAGTCACCATGATTTTTAATAAAGTATTTGGAGGAAGGAAAATCTTAGAGTAGAAGACAGTATAGCAGGTTGGTAGCTGAAGGGTGATCGTGTTACTTGGTAGTTGTTAGGCAGGTTTTTCTATGCCTATTCCATTCGCCTTGTATTATATCAGTTGCACAGGCTTGTTCAGTCTGTCGGGATTATGATACACCCATTGCTTGCACAAATCAAGACCTGTTAAGATACCTTCTCTGTGTCCTTGTTTTTAGGAGAAGAACTCTTTTCTCAACTACAACGTTTCTTGTATCCTGACAATGCCTCAATATATGAGACAAGGTTATGGCAAAATGCTCATTGATTTCAGTAAGTATAAACCTGCAGCAAAACCTGCTGATAATGGCTATGAAATGAAGCAGAAATCCCTGTCTTAGGTGTTTCAATTTTCTCAAACTGGTGTTTTAAGGATCAGACAGAATTAGCCAAGCAAGGAAATGTCTTTTACGTGCTTCATACACCTGTAATGTTATGTGTAAGGTAGAGAAAACATGTAGGTAAAACGCCCACGTTAACCCCTCATCATTCTTTTCAAGTGCGTCTTGAATCATATCAATATTGGTAAAGGTCAGCAGTACTTCCAATCTGCACTTTAATTGCCAACCAACTGCTAGGTAGTAGTTAATTAGAAGAAGAAATTGAGCTCCTTTTGAAGAATGGCATGGAAGAGTGATATTTTGGAAATATTTTCTGTCCAACATGTACAATTTCACCCAGAAATGTAACATATCTCTGTTGGCTCTAGATCAGTTTTGATTAGAGCCAATTTCTGCATGTGCGTCCAACATGTACAATTTCACCCAGAAACATATCTTTGTTGGCTCTTGATCAGTTTTGATTAGAGCCAATTTCGGCATGTTGTAAAGAAAGTAACAGTCAGGAGAGACTAGTTTAGGAGAGATAAATCAATTTTCTTTCCTTTACAGGCTATTTGCTTTCCAAAGTAGAAGAAAAAGTTGGCTCTCCAGAGCGACCTCTGTCTGATTTAGGTCTCATCAGTTATCGTAGTTACTGGAAGGAAGTTCTCCTTCGTTACCTGCATAATTTCCAAGGAAAAGAGATCTCTATAAAAGGTAAGTCTTCAAGCTAGATAAGCTTGTAGTGAATTGGTTGAGGAACATTTCTGTCCATGTTACTTTCTTCCTCAGAGAGGCAGGTCATGCTTTTCTCATTTTTAGAAGAAACAGCATATAAATGCAGGAGTTTGTATACTGGCATAGTTCAACAGAGTATTCTTACAGCTGAGTGTTTCCCTTCTTCCCAAACCTGCTACCATTAGAGATAAGGCAGCTTGCTGAGCTTTGAAAGTATGTACTGGTTTCTTTTTAAAATGATTTTTCAAAGAAGATCCTGCAAGGCATTTGGCGGATATGGTTACAAAGGGAGTTGCCTAAAATTTGTAGTTAAAAACTAATAAATATGAGTGATTGCAAAGGACTTTTGTGGTTTGCAGAAATCAGCCAGGAGACTGCAGTGAACCCTGTTGACATTGTTAGTACATTACAAGCACTTCAGATGCTCAAGTACTGGAAGGGAAAACACCTTGTCCTAAAACGACAGGTAAGATTTTTGATGGCTCTTTCTGCAGTTTTGTTTCTTTATATTTAGCTGTTACATTTGAGGTAAGAGAACTAAACAAAATCAGTATTTCCTTTGCATTGTGCTGGGCTTTCCAGCTGTTTGATTCTAGTGGGAGAACACTGTAATTTTGGAGTGAAATGCTTCAACTGATAAAATATGATCTGGGCATCCAGCCTGATTCCTCAGTATTGTGAAAATAGTCTGCGTTGATGTTCCTTATTCCGATGTGTGGAATAACATTGCTCATTGTGAGTGGCTCGTAGGGGAGCAGTGGATCAATGTTCTTATTGCTCTGCTCATCATTTCCTGCCCTTTACAGGGCAAACGGATGACCTAGTAGTGGGCTGAATTCTTTGAATCCTCTCAAGTCCTGCGTGTGTCCTCATTACGTATAAGGCACGTAGTGTGTAAATACCCTAATCTATGACAACTTCTCTCTTTCATTTCTCCCTTCTTGAGACTTGACTTCGTAACTCATCATTTTTGGAAGTGCTTCCAGAAAGCAATGTAGAAGAGATGTTGTTATTATCATGCTAAGCAAACAGCAGGCCAGTCATCTTTGTGGATTTGTGGACTTAGATGTTTGATCTTGTACTATGGATAATTCTCCATTGTAGATCACTTGTTTTAACCTGCCCTTTCATACTCTTTTCCGCAGGATCTGATTGATGAATGGATAGCCAAAGAGGCAAAAAGATCCAACAGCAATAAGATAATGGATCCCAGCTGTTTGAAATGGACCCCTCCTAAGGGAACTTAACTACCTGTCACTCCTGAAGCCAGTGAACCCCAGCAGTAGGAAGCACCCTAGGGATCTCTGTTGTGTCTGTTGCTGTTGTGATTGGCTGGTACAGTACCCGCCCCGAAAGATCCGTTCCCCTTGGTACTGTTCTGGCCCCGATCTTTTGTGCACACCACAGACGCTAGTTCTGAGGAACTTTATGTTTCGGCCTCAATGAGGTTGCAAGGATTGGATCTGTATAGGACCCAAACGATGCTCCTAGCAGCGCTGGCCCAAGGAGTTCTGATATCTGGTACTGTACCTGTCCAGTCACTGGTCTTACCCTCATGTTCTTATTCCAATGAGGTTGTGTTGTGTCTATAATCTGGTTGTTTCTTCCTTCAGGCTCCTTCTATGTAATGGATAACTTCTGTGGCTTTTGAACAAGGTCTAAAAATGCTCATTTGGGGAAAGTCTGGTTTCCCAACAAGCAGCAACTTACACTGACTTCAGCATTTTTCACAAGTCTTGTCGGATGGACTGTTCCATTTCATGTATCAAATAGTTTAATAAGGTAACATGCCACCTCTCCGAGCAGTGATTTCCTTATAATATAGCAGGTCTTCACATAGTTGATATTGTGCAGTCAGAAGCTTGCGTACTTGTACCTGAGTGGTGTGGTAGTGTTACCCTGGAGGAGTCAAGGCTAAGTGTGTGCGAACATCATAGTCTGAGGTATTTCAGAGTTGTTTTATAAACTCCTGGAGCAGGTATTGCTCCACATCTTTTAGAGAGATTGCTTTGATTATACGTTACTGGTTTCCTAGTTTATCTGTTCGAGTTGATGGCTTTTTTTTTTTTTTTTTTTTTTACACAAACCCAGTTTGTTCAGTGTATTTTACCTTAAATGTTTTTCTCGGAGCAGTCTTCCTTGAGTTGTACGTCTCTCTCTGTTGGAGAGGATTTTTTTTTTCTCTGTACTGAAGAGAGAAATACTAACTTCACACACATTTATGCTTTCCTTGTCCAAACAGCCACAGAAACCCTGTAATACAAATATCATCAGTTGTTGGATTGCCTATAGTGTACGTTCTGTGCATCAGTGGCAGCTCCAGGTAGCTGTGTGGATGGTTTGCTTCTCTGACAGTGCATCCTTGTTTGTCTTTGTAAAACAAACAACAAAAAAAAATAGCTTTTACTTCCTCTCTCCCATCAGCACCACCAGAAGAAACCATCATACAATGGCTTTCAAATATAACCACTGTCCTTGTTCCACAAGTCTTCTAGATGGCTCCAGTGAGATCAAAAGTGGGGACAATCTTGGAATAGCTAAGGGCAGCATCATAGAGTGCTGCGATTTCAATGCTTTCTCGTTGAACGGTGTCTGAAAAGAAGCCCTTGCAGTGTTACTGGTAGGTAGGAGCCATTTCCTGTTAACCACTGACCCATCCTAATGTGGAAGAGCTCTTCATGGCCCTTCTGATGGTTGTCTCTGCCTTTCTCTGCCTCCCTAAAAAAAAAAAAAAAAACAGGTCATCAGTACATGGTGTGTACTTTGTGGGCATTGCTGAATTTTGCTGTCATCTGCCCTTTGCTCCTGTACTAACTCCAGAGACTCATGAAACTATCCAATGAAATAGATCTCTTGTGGAGTAGGCAAGAAGGCCATTCTTGTGCAGAAGCTAAACCCCGTTCCCATGATGTGGTAGAATGTGCTATTCTTGTATCTACTTCTCAATAAAGCATGTTCTCTGCTCAAGTCTGTGCCTTCCTGTTATTTTTTTCAGTCAGATGTGCTCTTCTGGCTCTCCAGTTAAGAGATGCTGCTTGTCTGTGTTGCCAGGGACAAAATTGAACCTCTCTCTGTCTGACATGAGAAAGATTGTCACTGCAGCAGGCTTTAGTTTGGATGTTTTGGAAATATTCTATGTTATTTGCTCACTGTAGAACTGATCATACACCAGAGGCTGCCATGAAGAATATACGTGACGTTATCAGACACTGCCAATTTGAGTATGGATAACAAAATTGGGATAGCATCTGTCAACCCAAAGCCCTTGCAAAAAGGAAGGAGTTACTCCAGAAGTGACTGAGCTTATTATGGAGAAAAACCTGTCACTTCCCAGCTCTAGGCTTTTGTTTTACTCCGGTCCTTATTCTGTTTAACCTGTTTAAATTGCAAGCTCCTCTGCAACAGTGACTGTCTCTGTGTGTCCCAATTCTGACACAGATGGGATCCCACCCCTGATGGAGACCTCCAGGCACTTTGCTCATGCAGCCAGCGGTGAGGCAGGGAGTCATTCACACAACCAGAAGCATCTGTGGGTGACCAGAGGATGAGACGTGCAACTGCTCCTGGTTTCAGTCCCCATTTACTCATAGCAACTGCAAGCTTGCAGGTGTTACACACTGTACGGGCACTTTGAAGCCCACCTGGAAAATCAGGATGCTTACCAAAAAGCAATCCTTGCTCTCAGAAATAACTTCATAGATTTCTACACTCTTCTCCCCCTTTTCTCATTTATAAAACATTTGTCTAGCCTTGACCAAGCACAGGAGTAGAATATATATATGATTTTAAGCACATTGACCTTGCTGAATGCTTTGCTGGACAGCAACCTCTAAAAGACCAAATAAACCCTAGCACAGAAGTATAAAGATTTCTTAGCAACAGCAATTTTAGCTCTTAGTGCTCAGTAATGCAGGAACTTGGACGTAGTCAACAGATATTAAGCCCTCACTGCCAACTGCTTTGTCCTAACCCTACGTTTAACTGTGCTGCCCTCAGCACGTTGCTGAATGCTTTGCTGGACAGCAACCTCTAAAAGACCAAATAAACCCTAGCACAGAAGTATAAAGATTTCTTAGCAACAGCAATTTTAGCTCTTAGTGCTCAGTAATGCAGGAACTTGGACGTAGTCAACAGATATTAAGCCCTCACTGCCAACTGCTTTGTCCTAACCCTACGTTTAACCGTGCTGCCCTCAGCTGTGCTAGTGCTGTGTTTATAGGGAGTGCTCAGAAACACTTCACGGACCTGATTCAAACATCTCCGTCTCTCGCATCGTGGGGCAGACCACAAGGCCTCTCCTCACTGTTTTTTTCACTCGCATCGTGGGGCAGACCACAAGGCCCCTCCTTGCCATTTTTTTCGCACTCCCACAGTGCTGGTGCCTGAGAGTTCCCCATGATGGACCAGCTGGTGAGTTCTGCAGGGCTTGTGTTTCTTTGCCGAGAAGACAACCCGTGTGTGTCTCCAGGAACTGGTGTGTGCCTGCTGTTCCCTTGCCCAGCGCAGCACGGCCAGTTCTGCTGGCTGCTCCTTTTTGATGTAATCGTTTGGGGCAGGATGTGGGAATGTTGTGGCCACGCTGAGGATCTGCAGGGAAGGAATAGATGGGCGATATTCCTATAAAGGACACAAGAGGAAAAGACACAACAAGGAAGCAGGAAGGAAAGGAAGCTAAATATGTAATATTACTTCAGTCGTTTCTATTGTGATTGCTGTGTAACTCTGAGCTCAGTTTAAACCTGTGTGAAACAGTTCATCTGCCAGTAACTCCTCTCTCCTGTTGTTCCAAAACTATGGAAAGAACCAGAACACCTACCTTTCTGCCCAGCTCACAGACAAGGGGAAAGGCAACGCTATTTTTGAGAGCGTCCCCTGTAATTTCTGCTTCCCCGCCACCGTCCGCTGGGCTCCTGCCCACACACCACAAGAAAACACTCAGCCCCAAGCCCGGCGTGACAGCAGAGGTGTAGCAAAAGGGAGAAAACAAAAGGCAAAGAAAACATCCCCAGGAAGCGTATAGATCCCAAAGACTCTGGCAGGCTCTCTACAGTGAAAAAAAAAGAGAATTTAAAACAGTTGAGCTGGAAAAGGCTGCGACTTGACTCCCTTCACCATTGTCAAGTAAATCAAGCACTAAGGAGTGGTAAAATACTGCTGAATTTGCTCTTGCTTTGCACAGATAGACGTGGGACCCATAAAGTGTAATAATCTTGTATCATATGTGCCTAGTAGGCAGTAAAGAAAGGGTAGGCTTCTGAAGCTGGATTATCTATTATCTGTATAAATTAACGAGTGAAAGATTAAATGCGTGGGGTTGTATAAAACAGTAGATAACTGAGCTGTCTGTCTTTAAAAGCAGTATGCTCCTAGCCTGGCTAAATTCAGTGGGAGTGGTTAAAAGGCAGCAGTTGAACAGAGTGAAGTGGTGATACTTTTAATTGTCTTTGTATTCAATTCCCTTGGTGCCTGGGTGTGTGATAGTGAGCGCAGCAGACTTTTCCTTAGCAAATGTATCTGAGTGGTGATTAATGAGGAGTCTGAACTGAGGCGTAGAGCTGAGATAAACCTGTAGCATAGTAACAGGTAATGCAAAGGAGGGTAGGAAGGGATTGTGTGGGAGGGCAAGGGATGGCGATGCCTGTCAGCTCCTCTTACCAGGTGATTTGTCCAAATGGCAGCCAGAATTGTTCTGACTTTGGGTGGTTTTCTGCAGGCAGATCACAGCCATGATCCCCCTCCAGTGACCTGTCATTTCTGCAGTAAACCGAAGGTCTGATTCCTCCTGTGTCACTAGCACCAGTGTTGATTTTGTTTACAGGAGTCCATGATCCGTGAATTAACCTCAGCTGCACGAACCTCCTGCTTCTCCTGTCCTCTGAACATCAGGTTAGACACAAATGCAGCACCGGGAAGCCCTTGGTTGCTTCCTGTGCTGGGTTATGATGTGGGGTGTTTGGGGATGCCTGATGCATTTCAGTGTGATGAGGAACCCGTGCTGGTGGCAATTCCAAGCCCTGCTTTCCTGTAGCACGAGCTTCTAAAGTGGGACACTAGTCACACTCATTAGTCCTGATCCAAACTCCAGCCCACGTCCTTTTCACTCCAGAATTCTTGGGCTCTGTTCCTAGCTCAGCCAGTGATTCACTGTCCAACTCAGGCAGCTGCCGAGTGTCCTGCAGGGGAATCAATGTGGAATGGCTTGCTGCAGAAGGGAATGTCTGTGTAGGATATTTGGGACTGCAAGAAGGGAATATCTGTGCAGGATATTTGGGACTGCATGAAGGGAATTTCTGTGCAGGGTATTTGGGATGCAAATAAAGGCAATCCCAGCCTCAGTTTGACTGGTAGGCA